TAAGGTAATTACTGTCCCCAGAAACGCCCTTGCAGCTAATGAACCACCGAAGGCTCGCTCCCTGATAGCGACTCAAGGCCTGCAGCTCCGGGGGCCAATCCCTATCTCTGTTTTTATCTTTTTGATGGGAGGGAAAAACACAGACTGCGGGGTCTGGCAAACGTGGTTTGAATCCCTGCTTTTCTATGCCATATGACCTTGCGAGAATCAGATTGCCTTGCAAAGCCTCAGTTTCCTAAATTTGTAAAACAAGGAGAGAATAAGTATCAAATGGCAGCAGTGATAGTACTAACTTCATACGGTAGCTGCAAAGAGCAAGCAGGACAAGGCACAGTGCCAGGTATATAATATAGGGAGAGTTAACAAAACATGACATAAAAACAGAAAAGAAACAATAAAAAATGTAAAAAAAAAAAAAAAAGAAAAAGAAAAAACACGATAGCTTTAACAACAACAAAAACCCTATCCAATTATTCCTCTAAATGCACAGTCCCGAAAGGAGAAAGGCCATGTCTGATTTCCCAGGGATATCTAGACTCCAAGTGATTACCAGCTTTGGGGAGAACAAGCCGGTTCCACAGAAACAGATGAGCCAACTCGGAGCAGGAGGGAAGGCCTGGACTCCACCAAAGTAGGCGGAGTGCAAAAGAAACCTCAGGCCCTCTCGCTTCTCCCCAGGCCAAGCTGGTGTGTTTTGCAAACCTGTGACCAGGACCTGTTGCCCTTCAGCCCCAGAGAGTTCTCCACACCCAGTCAGACAAACAGACGCACCTCTGCCTCCAGCAGAGGCCCCCAATGAGTGGCTCTCAGAGGGCTGGAAACCTTCCGCAGTTCTTACAGCATAGGTGCCACGCTAATTTCACCCCTCACCGCACACACACACCCCCTCTCCTCTGGCCCAGGCATTAGCGCCGTTTCTGCCCCTCCACTCTGATGAGTGTGACCGGCCTCAGCATCACTGAGCTCTTCTTTCATGATGACTTTAAGGCCCCAAACCCTGCCAGGCCGCTATTGCGGGTTCTTCATCCACAAAGTCAGTGGTGGAAAGGATCAGTTTACCCAGAGCAAAAAAGCCAAACATAATCTCTGGCTAGCAGATAAGAAACACCATGGATAGTCAGTAACTGTATACATATCCCTCCCTGTAATTTATACTGTAACCCTAAAAAGAGGTTCTAGATGCATTGCCAAGTTACTCAGCTTTAACTTTGTTTTACTGAATGCCAAGGCTTTCCTGTCTGTGCAATTTTCTTTTCTCCGTATACATTTTCTTCCTAGGTCTGCACAAGTGAGTGACTTCCCAATTTGCAAAATAAATAAATTTTTTAAATCTACACATATGCTGGGTGTGGTGCTGCACACCTGTGACCCCAGCACTTGGGAGGCTGAGGCAGGAGGATTGCTGGGAATTTGAGGCCAGTCTGAGCTACACAGCAAAACCTGTCTCAAAACCGCCCCCCCACACACACACACAGCCTGAGGGAGCATCTTTCCAGGATTCAAGTATTAGGTAGGTGCCTGGACTCCACAAACACTGCTGCTTTTTCAAACAACCTGAGACTTTGATTTTTGATTCTGTTTTCCAATTCTTGTGAACACTGCCATTGAATTAGTCTTCAAGCTAAGCTACTTAGGATGAAATGGCAACTTTGACTCATCAAAGCACCAGTATAGCAAATATGCCAAGGCTTTGAGACACATAATTCAAGCAGCAAACACCCAAGGAATTGGACAATGTACAGATGTTTTATAGGTTCGGTGAGTACAGCATAAATTACGTAAAATACATAAAAATCTTGCCAGGTGTAATGTTGTGCAATCCTAGCACTCCGGAGGCTGAGGAAGATGGACTGCCATGAGTTTAAGGCCAGCCTGAACTGCATAGTGAGATCTTGTCTCAACAAACAAACAAATAAACAAACCGAACAAACAGAAAAATCTTTAGCAAAGGCCTAGGTATTGGTAGACACTGATATTGTCATGCACTGAATATACAGTTATCTGTAACATAACTATCTCCTTTTGGCTGGTTAGCAGATACAGTCACTCTCATAAAGTGTTTCCCCTCTACCTCCCTGCACATATGTTTATGTATGTGCATGGCTCTTTCAACAACACAGTAGCCCTTAAGCTTGGTGGAAAAACATCCAGCTTCATAAAAGAAATGTCCACTATAGCTAGCTTGAGACTATCACTTTACAAACTGAACAAAATCCAAAAGTTTGATTTATTTTGTTGGCAAGATTGTGGGGGAAAAGGCACTCTTTTATATTATTGGTGGCAGTATAAAATAGTACAAATCCTATGAAGGACAATTTGGCTATATCTGTATTTTGCATGCATATAACCTTGACCTGCCAACTTAACTTTATGGAATTTATCCTTGCTAATGCACTTGTAAAAGAACAAAATTTCAGGCTATTTATTGAGGCATATTTAGTAATAGCAAAAAAAAAAAAAAGTGCTGAAAAGAACTCACTGTCTAACAACACAGAGTTGGTTAAATAAATTATTTAAATACTATGCCACTACAAATACCTTTTTAAAAGAATGAGGAATTCTCCCGTAACAGAAATTGCTCTGAGATATATTAAATGAAAAAAGTGTGCATACAACTTGGTATGGTGTTGCACACCTACAACCCCAGCTCTCTGGGAGGCTAAGGAAGGAGGATCTCAAGTTTGAGCCCAGTGTGGGCAATTTAGTAACAAGACTCCATCTCAAAATAAAAAATAATAAAGTTACTGGAGATGTAGCTCAGCGCAAAGACCCTGAGCTCAATCCCCAGTACTAGGGAAAAAAAAAAAGAATGCACTACATTCCCTCTATGTGCTTAAAAAACTCTGAAGGATACACAGGAAACCAAAATTAGGGGTTACTTCTGGGGGACTGAAGACAGCTGGGAACACAGCAGACCTGCAGAAAGGAGTAGGAATGAGATGGGAGATTAGGGCAGGGCAAAGCTGGCTGGGGAAGTAGGTGTGACCTGTTAATCATAAGATCCCAGAACACATGGGCGAAGAATTCCCAAAGCCCTACACCTGGACTTCCCTCCAGAACTCCAGATGATTTTCAGTAGGATGGCCTAGACCTGACATCAGCCTGAGCTGTGGGATTCCAGCACTGCCTCTCAGGACAGTTTCGAGATCTGGACAACATATAAGGATGCAGACACACAAGGCACCCACTGCTCTCTCTTCACAGTATCTCACTCTGCCTTCTCCAGGGTGTCCTTTTCTTGCTTTTTCTCCTTTTACTCTGCCCAAGCTGGCTCTGCAAAGGCAGTTTCTCCCTTGCTCTTCACTTTTACATTCTTGAATAAATTTGGCCACTACTTTTTTTGCGCATTTTGTTCAATTCTTTGAGACAAGAAACAAGAAGAACCTGAAATCTAACTCCAGAGGGACAGGCAGGCAATGCAGAACCTACAGCTACTTTCAGAAAGAGCTACCTAATAACAGGAGGAGATGTTTTACTATAAGCCTTTTTATATTTTTTAAAGTTTTGAATCAAGTTTCCATATTGCCAATTCACAAATTTTAATCCGAATTGTTTTCTATTTAAAAATGGGTATGGTATGTTCATACAATGGCTTACTCAGCAAACCAAAGAAACGAGACATTTAAGGCCTTATATGTGTACTGTCAAGTGAAAGAAGCCCATGTAAAGAGTTTACACTGTATGATCCCAACTACAGGATATTCTAGAGGCAAATCTAGAGGCAGTAAGATTAGGATTGGTTAGGGGTGAGGGACAGGGAGAGGTATGAATAGGTAAAGGAGGATATGTGTGTGTGTATGTGTGTGTTGTGTGAAGGACTGAAGCTAGGCCAGCCTAGCTTGCACATGTTAGGCAAGTGATCTGCCAGTAAGGTAACACTCCCAGACTTTTTTTAAAATGTTATTTTGACACAGGGTCTTGCTAAACTTCCCAATCTGTCCTTGAACTTGTAATCTTCCTGCCTCATCCTACAGAATAGTTGGGGTTACAGGGGTGCACACCAACATCCTGGACACAAAGGAGTTTTAGGACAGTGAAACTATTGTTTGATTTTGTATTGGTGACTACATGGCATTATCAATTGTCCAAACACATAGAACTGTTCAACACAAGAGTGAATCCTAATGTAAAGCTTTTTGTTAATAGTAATTTATGGATATTAGCTGATCAATTTTAACAAATGTGCCACACTAATGCAAGATTTAAATAACAGGAAAAACTTCATAGGAGACAGCGAGGGTAGGTATAAGGGCACTCTGTACTATCTGCTCAATTTTCTGTAAGCTTAATACTCCTCTAAAAATTAAGCTTATGAATTTTTTATAAATGCTTATGTATAAATATGTAGATGTGTCTTTTGTTGAGACAGGGTCTCACTATGCAGTTCAGGCTGGCCTTGAACTCACTATGTACCCTTGGCTGGCCTCAAATTCTCCACAATCTGCCCCAGTCTTGTGCATGCTGGGATTACCCACACTTATCACCATGCCTGGCACAAGTTGCCTCTGTAGGCAAAATGAAAGAAAGCACAGTAATTCTTCCTAGGGCTGTTGAGACGATTCACAAAAAGAATTCTGCATGGAAAATGCTTAGCACAGGGCCTAATATAAAAGGAAAGCTCAAAATGTTAGCTGCCACTATAATGGTAATTGATTATTCATGGAATGGCTGATTTGACACTTCAAGTTCCAAGGTTACTAATTCCACTACCAGCATTTCAATAATATCCCAACAGGGCCCCAAATTCTCATTTCCAAACAGCCCCACTTTGAACACAACCCACATTGCCCACACACCTCCGACTTCTTTACTCGCAGATGCTATTTTCCCTCCTACTGGGCCTTACACTGCAAGCTCAGGCCCTGAAACTCTTCCTAGCAGCAACCTGCCCATCCTACCTCGACCCGTTACCACTCAGAACTTGATCCCGCCTCTTCCCCAGACCCCGGTTTAACTCGTCTCCACTTCTTCCCTTTCCCAGAGTTGAAGGAAGCTCCTACCCAGATACTCGTAGTCGGGTTGGGCTAGGCGCTCGGGACTCAGCATCCTTTGATCCGGGGAGCTTCCAGGCTGTAGTTCTCCGACTTCCGGAAACCAGATTGCCTCCGCTCTCCGTTGCCATGGCACCCAGGCTGCTAGAGGAGAGATGCCCGCGGAGAGGGTATCCCGCAAAGTCTCCGTGCTGCAACGCGGAGCCAGCCAAGCAAGTTCCGGGAGCAGTCGCTTCGCGGCGGTAGAGGTTTCTTGGGACTCTCATATTTGCGGAGTTGGTTTTAGAGGACTCGGAGGTGGTGAAGCCTTTTTTAATCTGTCGTATTTCCTGATTTCGAAGAATTACTGTCAGCCGTCCGTATCCGCAATTTCTGGATTTAAAAACTGTTCCTGCTTTATATAGCTTTTATCCTAACTTACAACATTTCCACCCGTGTTCTCTCATAAATACCCAAATCCTAGAACCTATTTTTATCTCTTTACCTTAAATTTCTACAAAGTGCTTTCACGTGCGTATTATATTTTGGCTGCTTCTTGTGTCTTTTAGCCTGTGATAGGGCTGGACATACAAAAAGTGCTCATTAAGTCTTCTGTAAGTTAATTGCTGTTTCCTCTCAAATTCCTCCTTAGACCATCCTCCTACTCCCATGCCTTACTATTCCCTTTCCCAAGTGTCTTTCCCTCTCCCCCCCCCCCACTTCTTGAGGGGAAGAGTGTAGAAATAAGGACACCTATTACCTGTTCTCCCACATGCAAACAGCTGCTGTCTTCTCTTCTAAGGGGAGAGAGTATTGGTTGGCTTCCAGTTTCCCAGATGTCTCACTTTTTGCTCCTCTCCACTCCCAACAGCAGGTCAGAGATCTGCAGCAATTGTCAGAGTTAAAACCTAGCCGGGTGAGGGGGGCAGTCTGTCCTCTCATTTTTAGTAAGTGCCCTCCCCCTCCTACAAGGTGAGGTTTTGTGAAAAAGAAAGAAAGAAAACCAAAATCGCACCATCAAAGGAATGACTGGGAAACCAGGAGACCACCTACACTGGGAGGAGAGAGAAAGAGAAGGTTCTTTTCTTTGTGTTGTGAGTGATCTATTCTTAGCTTCGTCCAGCAAGGAGCCTCAAACCTCCTAATTCTCCCTTTCCCTTAAAATTGTATATGTGTCTCAATTCGAGGCTCCTGTGAGTCACTCTGGAGTTTGGATGTGGTGAGGAGAAAAGAATAGAGCCCAACTAGGAGCAGTGTTGAGTATTTTGAGGTAATGAATTTGCTAATTTGGAATTGAATGTGAAATCCTGCAAACTGGACTAAAAAATCCTGCCTTCTCCCCAACCCTCCAACCCTCCTCCCCTGCTACTTGAGGAGGCAGGAGTGCTATAATTTTCATATCTCTGGCTTATTATGACACTATTAACAAGGTGAAAGGATAGTAATTACTTTTGTTTGTTTTTTGAGACAGGGTCTCGCTCTGTAGTTCAAGCTTAAACTCATAAGGTAGCCCAGGCTGGCCTTGAACTTGTGGCACACGATCCTCCTGCCTCAGCCCCCTGAGAGCTGCAATGAAGGCAAGCTCCACCAAGCCCAGATTTAGGATAGTAATTATTAAAGATCTTTTTACTTTACTCCCAAACAACCTGAAGCTATTTGGAGATAATTTCACATATCCTCATGAAAACTGCTTAAGGCACTTCTCCCTTTTCTAAGTAGGGAAACTGAGGCACAGGTCACAGAAGCAACTTGTCTGGTATGATGCCTCCATCAGTCAGTGGGAGAGCTGGAACTGGATCTCAGCTATCCCAACATCCAGATTAGTGGCCTGACCACTAAACCACATAGCCTCTTTTTTTAGGGATTGTTGGCTTGGTGTTTATTTATTTATTTTTCCTTTTGCTCTGCCCTGCTAGCAACTGGAAGCTCCCAGATAAAAAGGAGAGAATTTTGAGTTCAGGGTGAACATTTGACATCCTCTTATTTGCAAAGCGTTATCCTTGGACTTGGAAGGTACTGCTACTGGGGTCGGTGTGGTGAGGCTGGGAACCAGCCCCAAGAATATAGCTTTGTTCAGGCATTAACCCATTTGCGGTTATAATAATGATAAGTTTCAGCACCAGTGGCGCCCGACTGCTAATGACTCAAAGAAAGCTAAATAAGAACAAGATGTCATCTCTGGAGCTATTTGTAGGTTTTTCCTACAGTTCTATCCCTTCCATAAAAAACCCTAAGGACCATTATATTTAGTCAGCCTTCTACTCTAATGTCCTGGACAATCTATAGAGAAGGAGGATTTAGAAGAGGGTAGGAAGTTGCCAAACTAAAGCTCCAAGAAGATGTGGGATTTCACAGAAATAACAGGTGGCTTTCTTACTGACTGTGTTTTGCTTCTTTACATTTTCCTATATTCTTAAGATTTTCTAATGAGCATGTATTGTAACCTGAAAGCAAGGAAGCTAACGAGTGGCACGCAAGTCTTTAAAATGTTTTCAGGAAGATGTGATGATCTTACAGATAGTGTGTATTTTTCTCAAAAAGAAGGACTACTTTCAGATTTTCTCCAGTCAAGGATTACATAATAGCAGATTTTGGCAACACACTGGTTGTGGCAGAAATTTTTCAGTAAAACATAAACATCAGTCTTAAGAAAAAGGGAAATACTCAAAAGTTCTTAAAATCAAGCATATTTATGTGATCCTGTTTGAATGTTAATGAAAGAAAAAAGTTAGCGTACAATTTAAAAGGATTTTTAGGTTCCTAAATCATCATTTTATGTTTCTAAAAATTTATCAGGACAAATACCCAGGCAAACCAATAAATCAGAAGACAGCCCCGTAATCCTGAACAGAAGCAAGTGATATGAAAGTGATCAAAAGTAGATGAAAACCAAGGATGTAGCTCAGATGTAGAATGGTTAGTGCTTACCCAGCAGGCATGAGGCCCTGGGTTCAATCCCCAGCACAGAAAAGAAAAAAAGTGGAAAAAAAAAAAGAAAAAAGAAAAGAAAAAAGTGACATGTTCAATGCAGAGCTATAACATAAATAACATCAGACTTAGAACATGAGCAAAGCATCCATAACAGAGAATATGTCAATATGTTAATTTATCAGATTACAGTTTCTGATTGTATAAAGAGAAAGTTCATAGAAATTTTAAATCTTTGGCTCTGCAGAGAACCTGTTAAGAGATTGATAGGGAAGAAAATCCTCTCTGTAATTGAAGACTACAGAAAAGCAAACATGAATGTACTAAATAGTTTAAACCTCAAGGAAATAATAAAACAGTAAGTACAGGCTGAATTATTGCTACAAAACAGGTTCAAGAAAACTAGGACAAGCTTTTATCAACCCATCAAGCAGAAAAGATGCTAACGGCAAAGTAGCTACTAAGAAATGCAGGTCATGAAATTTATGCCGAGCTGCTAGGCTCTTCTTTAAAAACTTATCTTCCCCAAGAGTGAAAGAGGAACTAAGTATAAAGCCACTGTCTGGGATTAACATGTTTCTATTAAAAATGCCAGCTGCAGAAAAGTCATTTGGAACTGCCACAAATCCACAGAACACAGTTTGGGGAAATCTGCAAATAAAAAGAAACTTTTCACAACCTCGTGGGTTGTAAAGAATAATGCACTATAAGAAAATGGTTAAGAGGACATGGCTTAAATTGAACTGGAGCTCAAAAGCAATTACAAACTTGTAGCTGCTTATTTTATATTTTCAAGTACTGCGACAAGTTGGGAATTACACTTTCATATAGTTTGAAATGTGGGAAGATTTTCTGATTCTTCTTCATATCCCATGAAATGTCATTACATCTCTCTCTGTCCTAGAGTAAGAACTTTTATAAGCAGTTATGTTTATCTTATTATTAATTTCTGAACTAGTCCAAGTTGTGATTTTCTTGAGGACAAAGACTGTTTTCATTCACCTTTATATTCCTAGGATCATACATAGTATCTGGCAGAAGAAAGTTATACAATAAGTGCCTGTTAAATGAATTTGCTCCCTTCTCAATTAAAAGTCTAAAAAACAAAGATCATCCAATCCATGGGACTTATGGTTGCCTTATAGCAACCAACTCATAAACAAGTTCATTAAACAAAAACCCAGAAAAATGTTGAGTGTGATGGTGCACAAATGTTGTCTCAGCTACTTGGGAAGCTGAGGCAGGAGGATCACTTGAGTTCATGAGTTCAAGAGCAGCCTAGTCAACACAGCAAGACCTTACCTCAGAAAGGGAGGAAAGGAAGGAAGGAAGGAAGGAAGGAAAGAAGGAAGGAAGGAAGGAAGGAAGGAAGGAAGGAAGGAAGGAAAGAAGGAAGGAAGGAAGGAAGGAAGGCATCAAAAATTAATCAGAAAGTACACCTAAAATTGAGTGTGTGACAGACCACCATGTTAGAAACGCTTCCCCAAAAAACTCAAGTTACAGAAGAAAAGACTTACTGACAGTGCTGCATGTAGACAAGTTAAGAAAATTAGTTCAGGAGAATGGAAAACATTGTTAAATCCATTTAGGACGTGAACTGGGAGTTCCCCACTTCAAAATCTTAGCACAAAAATCTGGAGTACTGTGTTTATTTTTCCTCTCCCAAGCCATCCTCTACATTATCCCGAGAGTTTACTCTAACATTCAAAGTTGTCCGTGTTACTTCCATGCTTAAAAAGTGTTGCTGACTCACCATTACTAGGATGAGGCAAAATTTCTTAGCACACAGACACATAAATCTCTTCACAGTTTGCTCCCAACCTCTTGTTCCAGTCCTCTTGCCTCACTCTTCCCACCTCCTCCTCCAGCCACACTTCCTCCTCAGTATTTCCAAAGATGTTGACCTCTTTAGTGAACATCCCTTCCTTGGCATAAGCCTCCTCCATGTTTCTGCCTAGTAAATGACACCTCCTCTAAGACTTAGGCTAACTGTCATCATCTCCACGAAACCTAATCCAAATTCCCAAGGAGTCAGTTGCCATGTGATATATTTTAGGGTTTGTTATATTATGTTTTCCTGAGTATTTACATGGGTATTTCTCCTGGTGGACTATGAGTTGTTTAAGACCAAAGAATAACTGTTATATACTTCCCTCTGGCCGGAAAGACAAAATAAATATTTATTGAAAGGTCAGGATGAAGACAAATGATTTAAGCTTGAAATGGGTAGAAATCAATTTTTAAAACTACCTATTGGCTATAGTAAACTCATGAAACGTATTGAAAAGGATGGGTATCCACACAGCTTCAAATGAGATTAGATAAATCCTGGATGATAGACCCATATAGTCTTAAGGGAAACTAGAACTTAGTGTGTAGTGGTCCTAGGGTTTTAGGAGGGACATTGGAAGGCAACATGTTTTCTCTGGCATACCCATTAGAGGTGTCACCAGAAGCATAAACCTAGACTCCATAGGATTTAGGCTCTGTGCTCACTTCCCAGTTCTTTTGTTCTTTTGAGAGCATTTTCTTAAGGACATTTAAATTAACTTTTAAAGCTTTTCTTAAGAGAGTAAAATTTCAGATATCAGCTTTCTAAAAAAACCAATACAGAAAAAGAAAAAACTTAGTACAGTTGTTAACCAACTATCTAGGCCATCTCTCTCCCTGGAAAAGTATCATCCCAATTGGCTAGAGTCAGAGGTAAACAAAGTAGAAAGATAAATTAAAACTAAGAGAAACATAATCCCTCCCTTATACTTTGTAAGAACTCAGTAAAGTTTTATTGAATAAACAAATATAAATATATAAGGGGCATTTAATTTAGAAAAAGTTTTCAGCAATAGTTTCTTATTGAGCTTTCCCTAATCTCCTATGTTCTTTTAGATGCACAAGACCATTGATCATCCTTCCAATATGGCGGCCACTATTGATCACTCTTCCAACATATCGCCACCACTGATCATTCTTTCAACATGGTGGCCACTTTTAAAACATTATACCTTTGTTGATGGCACTCCATCTATCTGGAATGTTCCTCTTCCCTCATTTTTTTCTTTCTTTACATAAATTTTCCTTACCTTCAAGTCCAGCTACCTTCACAGACTTAAGGGTCCTCTCCTGTTTGTTTTCACAGCCTTGGTGGAATGAACTTCTATGATGCTTTTGTCATACTATCATTGCTTTGCAAGTCTTCCTCTTCACCAGGTTCAGGGCATCTTAAATGAGGGACTCTGTCTTCCTGCTCTTTGCGTTTCCCCAGCCCTTGCAGACTGTCTGGTTTTCATTCATTTCTTAAAAGTTTATTGAGCAATATGTGGCGGGCACTATTTTAAGTACTGGAAAACAAAACAAATAAGATCCTCAGTCCCTTGGAGCTTATTATGTAGTGTTTTGGAGGTAGATAAATAAACATGTCACAACAAACAAGGTTATTACAAAGAATGATAAATGCTGTGGAGAAAACAAAATAGGGTAAAGGCAGTGAGTGAGTGCAAAGTAACTTTAGGGTGGTAAGGTGAGGCTTCTCTGAGTCTGTAATGTGGAGCTGAGACCAGCCATAGGGAGGGTTTGGGGAAATAGCATCCTAAGTGGAGGACACAGTACATGCACAGGTTGGAAGACAGAAATGACAGCATGCGACTGGGGCACAAAGAGCGAGGGGAAAGTGGTGAAGTAGGTTGAGGTCAGAACCTGGAAGGCAATGCAAGTGAGAAGTAAGGATCTCATTCTAAGTGTGACAAGAACCTGTCGGTTTTAAGCACATTCATGCCTGCTCTGACTCATGTTAAGTATCAAAGCACAGACCATTTACATGGTCTTATACTGCATGCACATTTATTATTAATGGATCTTTGTTGCTTGATCTATTTATCTACCATTCTAACTTTATCATGGCTGTTAAAATAAGCTAGATTTACAGAGCTATTTGTACAAAGCTTATATTTCTTTGTGGCAGATGTGCAAATATCAGCAGTCAGGGGATAAAAATGTGCTGGAAAGCCCCATCTTTCAAGTTAGGTGAGGGAACAGAATCAGCCACATACCCCAGATCGTACGTTGAATAATGCTGATGAGCTGGAACATGGAAAACACCAGCACTAGAAATGGTGGTGTGGAGGTGTGCAATTCAAGAAAGCACAGAAATGCAATTCGGACTGTTCCCTGAGGGTCTCGCTGTATCAGTTTCCGGTGCTATATCCCCTGAACCTAAGTAAAAGCATAACCAGTTTGCTAAAAGTTAGTGACACTTTTCCATAAATCCTGTGGATTCTTTCCTGGCTTGGGGACTTTCCACATACTTACTGTTCCTTCTGCCTACAAGACCCTCCCCATTCACTCTTAGCTTGATTTCCCTTCCCTCCCCTCCCCCTCCCCTCCCCCCTCTCCTTCCCTTCCCTTCCCTTCCCTTTTTGCAGTGTTGGGGATCCAACCCAGGGTCTGAGCTAAGCAAGCTCTTACCAGTGAGCGATATCCGCAGCCAGCCTGATGATTCTTATTCAGCTTGTAAATGTCTCAAACATATTCAGTCTGTAAATGTCTCAAACCCCTAAATTTAAATCGTTTCTCCTCTCACACAACACTGTACTTTTCCTTCAAAGCCTCTATTATTTGTAATGTGAAATTCATCTGTGGGATCATTCTTTTAATGCCTCTGCATAGTTACAGACCCCTGCAACTATTGATTGTCAGTTCCAAGGACCTGATATCTGTTCACCACTGTCCCTCCAGGGCCTGGCATAAGATACCCTTAATGAGTAGTTTCTGAATGAATGAAACCCAGAAATCAGGGCTGGGGATATAGCTCAGCAGCGCAGCGACTGCCTGGCAAGCTCAAGGTCATGAGTTTGATCCCCAGTACCAAAGAAAAAGAAAAAGAAAACCAGAAATCAGCCTCCCTAAGGCACATAGCTGTAGGACTCCTTTAGCTCCTTTGGCAAAGTCTCGCTTTCATTTATAACCTTTTAATATCTCCTCCCTTCCATTAGCAGTGCCTTCAACAAGAAAGTAAGTCCATGAGCTGCTGGAGAAATTCTTTGCAGATTCATGTCTGTAATCTTTTAAAGTAGACTTTCTCAAACCCGGCACTGTTAACATGTTAGGCTGGCTCATTCTTTGTTGTGGGGGGAATGTCCTGTTCCTTTCGGGTGTTTAGTAGCATCCTGGGCCTCTATCCACTGGTCCTGGTCACACTCACTCTCAAGAATTCTCTGTGTATTGTCCCATGCCTGCAAGCTCACTCCTAGTCCAGATCCACTGTTTTGAAGTATGAACCTTCGGGCATTTTTCTCTTTCAGAAGAATCGCATTTGGCAATCTGGGTTGTCGAGTGATGCCTGGGTTACAAGAGAATTTTACCAACCCAGCTGGATCAAAACTGTGCCCATTTTTGATCTTGTTTCAGTAGCACTCCTTGTGTGTCCTTTGAAAAGGCCATTAGTGATGGTCTAATTCAGGGCAATAGTCCGATCTTGGAAATTCGACTCCCGTGGACTGTCCTAGAAGGATGAAGGAGAGGGGTGGTGTTTCTGAGGAAACTGATGCCTCGTAGACCCCCTCGGGAATTGGCAGTTCTCTGCAACTTTTCCAGGGGCATGTCTCAGGGGACAATAAAAGAGAGACAAACAGCCCATTCTGGCATGCTTTTCAGGATCTCTCACTCCAAACAAGAAAGTCTGAGAGGTCTGGTAAAAATAAATATGGCTTAGGACTCCTGGCATGAGAGCAGCTTCTGACGGCCAAGACTTAACTCACCCTAGGGGGTGACCCAGGCAGGGACTATACGTGAAGTTAGCTTCTACCCATTGATATTCCCAGTGCCTCATAGCGGCCCAGGCAGCTCTGCACACCAGCACAGGCCGCGCCATGGAGAAGCCTGGGATCCACATGGAAAAGCCAGTCTCTCTCGCCTGAGTCAGACAGGGACAGCCAGCCTCCCTCTTCCTCTCCAGTCCCAGAACAACAACATAGATCACGCCTCTGGAAAGGAACCTGTCCTCTGCATACAGAGTGGAAACTGTTTATAAATTCTTAATCCCCTGACACTGAAAGTCTGGGGACCGCCTGTCTTGGATTTTTTAGAACAAATGTATTCATTACACCACATGTCCCTGGTTTTCATTTGGAACAAAATATGGTCTTCTGGATCATGAGGTCTTTCTTGACAGGGTTAAAAGCAAGCAGTGGTTCTCTCCTTTCATCTCAGTACTAGGGAGGCTGAGGCAGGAGGATGGAACCCAGCTTGGGCTACACAGTGTGTCTAAGGCCAGCCTGAACTATATACCGAGACTCTGTCTCAAAAAACTAAAACTAAAATAAAAAGAAAGTCAGGCGTGATGCCGCACTCCTGTAATCCCAGTACTTGGAAGGCTAAAGCAGAGGATTGCCACAAGTTCAAGGCCAGCCTGGGCTACATAGTGAGTGGTGAACCACACAGCAAAACCCTATCTCAAAAAAAAGACCAGGGGTATAGCTCAGTGGCACGGTGCCTGCCTGGCAAGCGTGAGGTTGTGAGATTGATTCCCAGTACCTAGGTAAGTAAGTAAATGAATAAATAAAAATAAAAGCAAATGTTAGTAAGCAATATACATTGAAGCTTGAGACCAACCAAGAACTGCATTAGAAGGGGCAGGGGTGGGAGCTGAGGAATCAGTCTCTACTTTTCACTTTCTTCCCTTTGGATTTTAGGTTAAAGGGAACTGAAGCCAGTCAAACAGGTGGACATGTTTCCCAAGCACCAAGATCCGGTAAACCTCACCTGACTCTACTGCCCCCTTCGGTCAGTAGAAAGAACTACACACCCAGTAAACGCTGCAGTATTAGTTACCATGGTGATGCTCATTCAACCACATTGCATCTGAGTAAAAACTTCAGGCAAAACAGTATACAGAAATACTAAGAAAGAGTTAACACCACTTTTTTGTTGTTGTCGTCGTCGTAGCTGTCGCAAAGTACGGCTAATGTTAGCTTTGGTCAAAGATGGTAATTTGAAGCGAAAAGTTGAAAACAAGCAAGGATGAAAGGTCAGACCTAACCATTTGGTGAAATCGCCTAGTCCCCACTCTGGAGTGTACCAAATTACGTTCCCCTCAGCTAACTTGGGGCACTTGGGCCTTCCTGGCTCTATTTACTGGTGAGAGGTAAGTGATTCTGAGAAATCCATAGACCATATTAACCCGAAAGGAAAAAGTCATCCTCTGGGCCCTAAAAAAGTCGGGGACTTTAGCAAACGTAACAAAAACAACATCCAACGTAGGAAGCTGAAAGGAGGCAAAATTAACCCGTGTTCCTACGATGCACTGGGGGGGCCGCTGGCCACCACGCTAAGGCGAGAGAGGCGGTTACAATTCTGTGCAGTCACCCAAGCCTTAAATACCGCTGGAAGGCCCTGCCGACGGAAGTGGGAAGCAGGCCGAGGGCTGGGGGGAGTTTGGCTGCGAAGGAGAAGGACTTACTGCCTCACCCCCTCCGCTTCCTCGCCGGGATCAGAAAGTCAAAGAAGGTGAAGAGGCTAACGACGCTGATTTACAAAGACAGCGACAGCGAGGAGGAACTAAGTCCGGCGGGGCCAAATCTGGACGTCTGAGCTGGGGCGACGGGACCCAGACAGGCACCTCAGGAAATGAGTAGATGAAAAAGAGAGGTCGCAGAGTTATTTAGCCCTAGAACAAGGCGGCCTGGGCCGGGGGAGGGGCGGCAGAGCCAAAAGAAAATCTCAGAAAGGGAATTTTGACAGCGAGAACTCTTTGAGATACAGCGCCGCAGGCCCCCTGATGTCCCTTGTTTAACGTCAATAAAGGCCGAGAGGATTATGCAGTAGCAAGCCCTGCATATTCGGAGACACCAATGAAGTCCGGACTCGGGGCCCGGAGGTGCTCCCCCCTCGGGTCACGTCCAGGCGACTTAGGTCAGCGTGGTTGCTTCTCCCTGGCGAGGAGCTAAGTGCACCGGGTCTGAGAGTAGCCGCTGGGATATTTTTTTTAAGCTAGGGACATTTGAGCTGTGGTAATGGGGACAGAGCAGGGGTTCTCTGGAAGGCCAGGAATGTGGGGGCGGCCTCCGGAGCCGCGGGGCCGCGCCGCAGGCGCGCGCGGGTGGGGTTCGGG